AACAAACAATCTCAATACTAACACACAATATGGTTTCGGTAAAAACAGAAGTACCATCGATCTTTTGGTTCGCTTAGATCTCGAAAAGCATATGACACTACCTGGAAACACGGTATTTTGAAAGATCTATGCGATTTTGGATTGCAAGGCCGTTTGCCTCAATTTGTATCCAAATTTTCAACTGACAGGCAATTTCAAGTCCAATAGGGGTCTACCCTGTCTGATCATTATAATCAGGATCAGGCTGTCCCACAAGGCAGCATTTTGTCTGTCACTTTGTTTAGCATCATGGTGGTGCTTATAGAAATAATTTAAAATCATTAAATACCATTCATCCCCAAGGCCTGAGGCTTTGCCTTACAACATGTGGCTGTGTTTTCAATCCTCTTTACAAAAATCTCGACAATAAAAAATAATCTCTTATTCCACCACTTGGAATAAGAATACAATCTGATGTTTCTGCTGCTCAAATCAATCTTTAAAACATACATGTAGCCCCTACTTCTCTTCTCCACCATGGTAGATAGTGAAGCAAGAGGTGGACCTAACATAAGACCCGTAAAGATCTGGGTTAGAATAGGTCCTTAGCAACCCATACTTGCCGTAAAAGGCGACTAACGGGATCGGTGGTCAAACTCGCTGACTTGGTTGATGTATGTCATCGATCCCAATTGCGTGGATCGATGCGCGTAATATCAATCACTGGATTCTCTGGGCCAGACTTGATTATTTACGGACCGTCGTCTTATAGCTGGAATATTGCTGAGTGCGGCGTAAATCAACAAACCAACCAAACCAACCAACCTATCATAAACATAAGAAATGTTAAATTTTCACAGAAGTTGCAAATGCTATTTTGGCATCACTAAAATATATCAACAGCCAAACAAAACATAAACAGTTCATCTTTTTTTCATATTCTCTTTCTTGCCTTCGGGCTATTCAAAACATGTTTTCCACATAACCACCTTTAATAGAAATTATTGAATTGTTTAATGATCTTACTACTGGCCAAAATGACACCGTTTTTTTGGTTACCCATTCATGTTGGAATCACTGGGAGCACAAAGGTCGATGCTCCTGCAAATCTGTGACGCCACTTCTTATCGCATACAGTGATATCAAACCTGTATTTAGATGTCACATCCTTGATCTGTGCAAAGGAAGTGGGATACCAATACCAATACCATTTGGGTATCAATACATTACACGAAATAAAACCAACTACAACTACTTGGGTTGACCGTCCAGATTTGAAGAGGTCACAGCAGATACACCCATCAATGTTGCTGGGGATCCTCCATCTTGTGTCCCTTGTGATGAAAGAATCACGGTCAAGCATGTTGATTTATCCATCAGAAGGAATAAATATGTAAGTTTTCTGAAGATATCATGACAGCGATTTTACGTACCAGCAAATGCGAACACTAGAGATACATAACAGTGTGATTTGATAAGGTTGATTCAAATGGAATCTTATTGGGCAGAGTGGTGGTGTATTGGGCATCGAAAACTATTCCTTGATTCAAACAGTAACACAATATTACATCTATAAACCAGGGCTACAAACCAAAAATGAATGCAGCCACCCAGGGACATAAGAATGTCTTAAACCTACAGGTGAACAAAGGAGCTGATCCGGGCATTCTTGATTATGACGAAAACCGATCTTCATGCAGCCTGTCAAGTATTGAAATAGTTCAGTATATTCTTAGGCAGAATGCTACATGCATGAACGCCAGGGCCGCTGGAGGGTTTACAGCAGTGTTAGTAGCTGCAAATAATGGACATGAGGAAGTGTTTGACCTACTTGTTGTGAAAGGAGCTGACCTTGCAATAATGACATGAGGCTTGTAAAGGAGGAAACATGAAGCTGGTGACAACATCCTACATGAGGCTAGTAAAGGAGGAAACATGAAGCTGGTGACAACATCCTTCATGAGGCTAGTAAAGGAGGAAACATGAAGCTGGTGACAACATCCTACATGAGGCTAGTAAAGGAGGAAACATGAAGCTGGTGACAACATCCTACATGAGGCTAGTAAAGGAGGAAACATGAAGCTGGTGACAACATCCTTCATGAGGCTAGTAAAGGAGGAAACATGAAGCTGGTGACAACATCCTACATGAGGCTAGTAAAGGAGGAAACATGAAGCTGGTGACAACATCCTACATGAGGCTAGTAAAGGAGGAAACATGAAGCTGGTGACAACATCCTACATGAGGCTAGTAAAGGAGGAAACATGAAGCTGGTGACAACATCCTACATGAGGCTAGTAAAGGAGGAAACATGAAGCTGGTGACAACATCCTACATGAGGCTAGTAAAGGAGGAAACATGAAGCTGGTGACAACATCCTACATGAGGCTAGTAAAGGAGGAAACATGAAGCTGGTGATCAGAACATTGTGGACATCAACAGTAGAGGAAACAGTGGAATGACACCAGCAATGATAACAGCATCCATGGGACACAAAGATATATTCGACTTACTGCAGGAGAAAAGAGCTGATCTATCGCTATTGGATAGTAATGACAACAACATTCTCCACAAGGCTTGTAAAGGCGGTAATACTCAGCTAGTTAGCTATGTTCTAACAAAGAACATTGTGGACATCAATAGTAGGAACATGTTTGGGATGACGCCAGCAATGATAACAGCCTCCATGGGACACAAAGATATATTCGACTTACTGCAGGAGGAAAGAGCTGATCTGACACAAGTGGATGATTTGCAACAGTATTCTCCACACGGCCTGTGAAGGAGGTAATATTGAGCTTTTTACGTATGGTCTCGAAAAGAACACTGCGGACAGAAATTGTCGGACCAAGTTTGGGATGACAACAGCAATGGAAGCAGCCACTGGGAGCAGCAAAGAGGTGTTACATCTGCTCATGAATAAAGGATAAGAAGACTATCAAATTAATCCTTACACATAGCATTGTCAACATCAACGGTAGTGACGACGAAGGAATGACACCCGTATTACTGTCAGCAGAGATGGGGTACAGAGATGTATTTGATTCAGTTGTGAGTAAAGAAGCTGATCTGTCAAGTGTAGATGTTAACGGTAACAACATTATTCAGAAAGCCTGTGTTGGAGGAAATCTGGACATAGTGAAGTACGTCCAGACGTTGAGCAGCATTGTACGAGACATTGACAGGAAAGGTGTGTATGTCTGGACATCTGGGGAAGATGTCTGGTACAACAAATGCATTGTTGCAACATGTCTGATTTATATTTTGAAATTATTGCAAGAACATTCTGGCTTTGCAGCTGCAGCTGAAGAAAGACGCAGCCTCTAAACAATTTCCCCTCACCCCGAATATGAAATGGGCGATCCTTAAACTGTAAGGAGGACACTCTGTTACACGGCAACCTTTTCTTCAAATGCACAACCATATGGACATGCGAGCTCCTAGTCTGTCTATCACTTATTCTGTATCTTCATATTTGTATTTGGCAGTTTATTGTGTTGTTTAACAATGATTGTAATTGTGTTACATTGTTTCTAGTCGAGACTTGGTAGACACTAATTGCATTGTGTTTGAAAAGTGATCAGGCTTCAGGAAGTTTCTATATTTAGATACAAGACTGGAGTGTGAACTTGTGTTTCGGTATACCGCGGACGGTGACAGTATGTTATAGAAACATATAGAACGTTATGTAATGGTCAAGTGCCGCTAGACTGGTTAATGCACGGTATAGTTACTTCAAGTAGCTTGTTAGGCTGTACATATTGTGGACAAGAGCGTGTTCGGGAATCTCTCACGCATTTTCATTACTTCGGTACCAGTTTTCATGTGAGGACAGCTCATCATCCCTCATTTCCTGCCGAGCCAATCGCGGAAACTTTACCACTGCCGCCACTGGGTAAATATATATTATCATCACTAACTTTTAGTATCGCCACTGAATTTTTGTATATGATTCTGACCACGGCATCATATTATTTATTGCCATTGACTCTATTGTGTACTTACATTGTAATTGTTGTGCAGTAAGTTGTATTGATTTGTTAACCAAGTTTATTTGTAATACATTTGTTGATTATATACCAATGCTGGTTGTTTCATGTTTCTTGGTAAAGATATTGTTTCAATTTGGGAATGGTCACGTAGTTACAACAGCATGGAGATGCGATCCTCCATCTGGGTATGTCCATAACGTGTTACTATGTATATCTTCCTATCGTCTGTGTGTTTGTTTGTTGTTTAACGCCTACTCAGCAATATTCCAGCTATACGACGGCGGTCTGTAAATAATCGAGTCTGGACCAGACAATCCAGTGATTGAAATCAAGAACATAGATACACGCAATTGGGATACGATGACATGCATTAACCAAGTCACCGAGTCTGACCACCCGATCCCGTTAGTCGCCATTTACTTCAAGCATAGTCTCCTTTCACGGCAGGCATGGGTTGCTGAAGACCTAATCTACCCCGGATCTTCACGGGTCTCATACAGATATGCGAACCCCTAGCTGTGTCTGTCAATAACTTGTAGGATATGGTCATGTCGACTAGATGTGGTTTTCAATACTTGTAACGTATGCTCATACAGACATGCGAACCCCTTGCTGTGTCTGTCCATAACTTGAAGAATATGGTCATGTCGACATGGGAGTCACGAACCGTGGTAGTTTACTCTGACATTGTTGAAGTAACATTTGTTTCGCAATTTACACACGTAGATAGTATGAGTTATTCGATACCACCTTTTTCCATTGAAGCCACTTCTTTTTACCTTTCCATAAACCTACAACCATGATATGTTGGTAGAGTAAACTACTGTTATAACGAACTGAAAGGTACCACTATTTGTAATTCGTTATAATCGAAGTTCGTTTTAAGCTTATGTACAAAATATATAGAAAAAATGTATGGACGGGACCAAAAAACAGTTCGTTATATCCGTCGGTTCGTTATAAGCGTGTTCGATATAAACGTAGTTTACTGTATGTGCATACTGAAAACTGATCAAAACTAACACGCCATCATGATGTTAACTTTTATTGACGGGAGTGTATTTCCTACAGTCCATTACAAACATATCTCTACCTCCCTTGCATTCCCTGCCTGACGCACACGTAGGCAGTGGGTTCATAGCGCATGCCCAGTGGGCACGACTGTACCCAATAGTTGCCGGCAATGTCACAATGTATAAACTTGGACTGGTCGGGGTGTGGGTAGAACATGATAGCCGACCCTGACAAGCATGGGTTGTGGACTGTGACGGGCTGGGGTGTGGAGGGGTCGAACTCGTGGAAGAAATCAGCCACGCACGTCTTCGCGATGTCGTTCCAGAGGAAGTTGGTGTCGCAGTGCTGCACCCAGGCTCCGCCCCAAACGTCGCAGTGGATGAACTTGTGCTTGTCGTCAGGGTAGGGGAAGAAGTACTCCTCGTTCTGAATCTTCTGGGGGGTGCAGGGACTCGGGGTGTGGGAGGGGAGGAGCGTGCCCCCACTCGGCACGGATATGCTCCCAAACCCACACGACATCGTGTTCTGGAACAGGATATATGGTTAATATATTATTGGCACGCTCTTATACCCACACATGTGTGTTTGTTTGTTGTTTAACGTCGCACACAGCATTATTCGAGCTATAGGACGACAGTCTGTAAATCATCCAGTCAGGACAAGACAATCCAGTGATTGAAATCAAGAGCATAGATACACGCAATTGGGATCGATGACATGCATCAACCAAGTCAGCGAGCCTGGCCACCCGATCCCGTTAGTCGCCTCTTACTTCAAGCATAGTCTCCTTTCACGGCAGGCATGGGTTGCTGAAGACCTATTCTACCCCGGCTCGTCACGGGTCTCATACAGATATGTGAACCCCTAGCTGTATCTGTCCATAACTTACATAGGCCAGTAATTGACATCATGAGCATCGATCTACGTAATTAGGATACGATGACATGCATCAGCAAAGTCAGCGAGCCTGGCCACCCTATCTCGTTAGTCGCCTATTACGACAAGCATGGTCGACATTTAATTAAGACATCTTCTCTTCCCGGATCTTCCCGGATCTTCACGGTAAGGGAAGTAATACAATGACGGTATATCACGTCCTTAAACCTATGCGGGGAAAGGATGAAATGGTAGAAATTTTCTAATATCTGGATTTATTTTGAAATCCAAACATGAATTAAATTCATCTCCAGAAGCTAAAATTGAAAATGGGATCTAGCAACAAAAATCTGCTGCGACATGAAAAGGGGACCTGTATGACGGCCTCCCTGTCGTATCCCACCTTGTTGAAGATGTCGTGGTCGGGGCACATAGTGACGTACATCTTGCCGGTCAGGTCACATTTGATGAACATGCTGGTGTCATATGGGTGGGGGTGGACCAGGATTCCCTTGTTGATGTTGTCGGGGGTGCAGGGGTTGGCGAGGACTCCCCAGTTGTCTGCAAACAAGAGACATCATGTGGGCAAACAGGGGAGACAACTGAGATTTTATTCGGTGAGATGATGTGATATGAAATGGAGTTTAACGTTATGCATTTGTGTGCGCGCGGGTGCATCTGTGTGTGTGTGCGCGCGCGTGCGTGCGTGCGTGCGTGCGTGCGTGCGTGCGTGCGTGCGTGCGTGCGTGCGTGTTTGTGTGTGTGAGTGTGTGTGTGCCAGTTGGATAATGCGGGTTTTATAGTGCTAGCCCACTGACATACCCCACTCAGACACAGTATACTGACTCCAAGCTGACCAGCTGACCTGATATCCCTATAATGCCGTGCGACAGGCAGGGAAACAACAAGTACCATCTTTTTACAGCTTTGTGTATGACGCAGACGGGCTTTCCGGAAAGACATTTGCTTTATCCACAAGAACACTTAGGTGGGGCAGCCTAATGGTTGAAGCGTTCACCAGTCACGCCGAAAACCCGGGTTCAAGACCCCACATTGGTGTATTTTTAAGCAAATGTCTGATGTCCTTTGCCGTAATATTTCTGGAATACTGCTAAAATCGGCGTAAAACCATACTCACTCACTTCAATAACAAAACGTATCACAGGGGAATCTTGCATAACGCATCACAGATGTTTACGTACTGTTGTCACAGATGTTTACGTACTGTTGTCACAGATGTTAACGTACTGTTGTCAGAGATGTTAACGTACTGTTGTCACAGATGTTAACGTACTGTTGTCACAGATGTTTACGTACTGTTGTCACAGATGTTTACGTACTGTTGTCACAGATGTTAACGTACTGTTGTCACAGATGTTTACGTACTGTTGTCACAGATGTTAACGTACTGTTGTCACAGATGTTTATGTACTGTTGTCACATATGTTTATGTACTGTTGTCACAGATGTTTACGTACTGTTGTGACGGATGTTTACGTACTGTTGTCACAGATGTTTACGTACTGTTGTCACAGATGTTAACGTACTGTTGTCACAGATGTTTATGTACTGTTGTCACATATGTTTATGTACTGTTGTCACAGATGTTTACGTACTGTTGTCACAGATGTTTACGTACTGTTGTCACAGATGTTTATGTACTGTTGTCACATATGTGTACGTACTGTTGTCACAGATGTTTATGTACTGTTGTCACATATGTTTACGTACTGTTGTCACAGATGTTTACGTACTGTTGTCACAGATGTTTACGTACTGTTGTCACAGATGTTTACGTACTGTTGTCACGGATGTTAACGTACTGTTGTCACAGATGTTTACGTTCTGTTGTCACAGATGTTTACGTACTGTTGTCACAGATGAGGGTCTTCACCTCCGCGTGGATGTAGTCTTGCTTCGTGCAGTTCCTCCATACACCGTTCTCCCTGCACAGTATTTGGATGTCTGCAACACACAATGTACATCCACAGTATTAATATGTACTTATAGCACTTGTCTGTACCCACAACCCACGTCCCCAAAGTTTCTGGTACAGACAGGGACGGTCGGGTAGCCTAGTGGTTAAAACGTTCGCTCGTCACGCTGAAGACCCGGGTTCGATTCCCGACATGGGTACAATGTGTGAAGCCCATTTCTGGTGTCCCCCGCCGTGATATTGCTGGAATATTGCTAAAAGCGGCATAAAACCATACTCACTGACTCTAGTATATACAATCTGACATTTCAAGTATATAGTTGAAAGCTAATGCAAACCAACTAGACATATTAGGTACAACACTTTCTTATCAAAGTTCAGATTCTAGTATTGTTTGGTTGATGAGTCCCATCCGGGATTCGAACCCAAATCGCCAGCACACAAAGTCAGCGATCGAACATACTCAGCCGCCGAGGCTTCAACTTCCATGATTGTATTTGACCACTTTCTAAAATGCATAAAGGCATTGTGTTTTCATAGCAACACCCCGTGAAGATCCGGGTTAGAATTGGTCTTCAGCAGTCCACGCTTGTCATAAGAGGCAACTAACAGGATCGGGAGATCAGACTTACTTTCTTACTTACTTACTTATAATGGAGATATAACGTGCGCTTTCCGACTTCAAGCGTATGTCGCACACGGTAGATTAGACTTACTGACTTACTTACTTTGGAGATTTAACGTGCGCTTTCCGACTGATGCGTATTTCGCACACGGGCCCGGCCAGGCCATTTAATGTGTTTCCGAAAGGGGCGAAAGTGGTGTGAGCAACCCAAGAGGGGGCTTTAGGGGTTGCTTATATAGAATTTGGGAATTTTGAGATTTGGAATAGATGTCGATGGGATTGGGGAGGAGAACTAAGGGAGCTGGGTATGGTGGATGTTTGTTTGTTTATGTGATTTTGATTTGGTAGATTATTTTGTTTTTAGATGCGTTTTATTAGTTCCGTTTTGATTAAGAATACGCATAAGGCCTTGAAGTTTTCTAGTTTATTTTGTGGGTTTAGTATTGCTTCTAGAGTGAGAGCCTTGTTTAGATTGAGGGTGGTTTATAATGCGGTTCGATGTGTTAGGTAGTGTGTGCAGTGGATGAGTGCGTTTTCTGGGGTTTCTAGTTGTTTGCAGTGTGGGCAATTACCTGTAGTGTGTTTTTTTGGTTTTTTTAGGTGGTTATTTAGGTTGGTGTGTCCTGTTTGGAGTTTAGTGATTATTCTGTCGGTTTTTTTTATGGATGATCAGACCCTGTGACAGTCTTAATATACTGGCGGACAAGTCACGTGATTTGCAAATTGTATCCTGTCTGCATCACATGACATGTGCACATCATGTAGCCAATCATTCACTATATTACATGGCTGTTTGATTGTTCGGGTATTGTGATGGCAATCACGAAGAATATATAAATATTAATGTATCTTTATTATAAAATGTTTAAGTTATGACAGCTTGTAAAAAATAGAAATATTTCCTAAATATTTCCCTGTTGTATTTTTGACGGTTATATGACACAAACATTTGCACAAATTATATCATAATTATCCTGTAAGCTGTAATGACTTTAGCAGGTATATATCAGAATATTTTTGCCAACCTCGTTTTCACGTAATTCAATGTTTTGCATCCCGTTTTGGTAAGAAATCCATCAGAGGATCATAACATGTCGTTATAGAGCTTCATAGCACACTGTTATCTCGTAAAAATAATCAAATGTCCATGCCATCATGTTACGCATATTGTTTAGGATATGTCAGTACCTCATAAGCGTCGATGTCAACAACGTGCCTTTCAAAACGATCTTGTTTACTTTTTCATAAGTTTTGCATTGACCGTAACTTTTGAAGAATTCATCGTTCTAAGCACACAGTTACGCAAATTAACCACCAGATACAGATTAATCATACCTTCATTCTTCAACAAACAGATCACAAACCCTTGACAACTCTATATTTATCCATATTTGTGTGAATTTGTGATCAGGGCTGAGCTACGTGTTTCGCCGACGCCCGCCATTTTAACTTTGTGACAGCTAGCTTAGGTCGCAATGAAGTTACTGAATTTGAATAAAGCTTACTATTTTGCATTGTAAAGTTTATCTAATCTAATGAACTATGTCCAGAGGAACCCAGAATCGTATTTGATGATATGTCAAGACGTGTATTAAAGTTGCTGTTAATTCTGACGTCAGGAACTATGTATAGGATAAAACACATCCTCGGGTTGTTATGATATTTAATACCCGCATCCTGAGGGATTTTCCGAGGGAAAGGGTTTTAAATATCATAACAACCCGAGGGGAAGTGTTTTATCTTACTTATAAACCGAAAAAAGAAACTTAAAACCACATTTATCAACATTTGTATGTTTCGAACATACTTTCCATGAACCTTAGGAAACGGGCGTAAAATATCTGTTGCTGGCGTACGGATCTTGAAAAGGACATTCTAAAAAGCAGAGCGGCTTATCAACACCTCTGTAGCCTCGTGGTACACTCACTGGGGTACAGATATGAAGATTGCGAGTTCGATGCTCGGGAAAATAAAGAAAATGTTTGTCATTTGATTTTACATTTCATAACATGTTGCAATCTGAACGGAAGTTATATTAATAAAATACCCAGGACATTATATAAAATCCCTGGGATATTATAACACATTATATAGCAAATATGACTTGAATATCCTATAAAATCCCGAGGACATTATAACACATTATATAGCAAATATGACTTGAATATCCTATAAAATCCCGGGGACATTACAACGTCCCTGTTTATGAGATTTAACCCGACTGGAGAACAATAGGATGACGTCACCGGAGGTTTATAAGTAATTTTCGCTGATGTATTCATGCGCAGTATTTAGCGTCACTATTTATAAACATGTCTCTCATAATTGTGACATCCAGTGCTTCTGTCAAAGCTTACCAGTGGCCAATTCGTGTTATTAAGCGTCTTATGCATCAGATAAATTCCAATTGCCTCCTGACATTTGTAATCTTCCTCTTTGAATTGTCAAACGTAATTCCAAATCGACGTTGCTTGTTGTTATTACGTCCTCTCGGCAGGCAGCACGGACATGGCTTCGACGTAGCAGGACGTAATTGTTTATCTTGCGATATTGGAAGGCAGTTAGTGAGTCAATTGGACATAATTAATTGATTGTATAATTACTCATCTTTATACCAAATTACCTCCTGAGATGGTTTGCCTTTCTGTTTATTTCAGTGATTTTACGTTGTGAAAGTAGATCCCTCAAAGAAATAAGGACGTAAAGAGACGTAAACTATCGTAATTTGATTGGTCAAAAACAGACATGTGACCATTCTCTCACACCTATAAATACGATGAGATCCACAGTGAGTCATTCTGACTGTGTCAGTCTACAGGTCAGTTTCGATCAAAGGGCAGGTAATTCAGCCCAAAAGTTCCCCTTGTCCATACATAAGTCATTTCTGTAAATAGACTGTATTTTTGAAAACAGACACAAATTGCTATCTTAGTAACTGTAACGTTATTCAGATAATGAAGCCATATATATATATATATAGTAAAAATTAATTAAGTGGAGTAAGATTGAACACAGTTTTAATAGGCTAGCGCTTTCAACTCATACCACGTACGAGTCTCATCAGGCCATAACTACCATTATAGTTGCAGGCTATAATAATTTTGCCCTGACACTGGTCCTTACAAATAAACCTTAAAACTCAGAGGGATCTACTTATTTGGAAGCATTGTGTTGTCCATATATGCCTACATTGTTACACCCACATGAATAAAAAGTATTTATTCATTGAAGAAAAGTGTTTTGACTCTTAGTTACATCCAGACGTCAAGGTTTATCAGACGTTTGGGTCCGGGCCGCTACAGTATACATCCATGTTGCATTACCTTGCTTCTTGTCCACAGACACTGTGTACTTGGCGTCCTGGCACTTCAGGAGACCGGAGGCGGAGGGGGGTAGTTTGGTGCCGATGACGGTGACGTAGAGGGGACGACCGTCGTGGGAGGCGACCAGGGAGATGATGGCCGGCTGACCGTCCTTGGCTGAGAACTTCTGGTCAAAGAATGCTGGGCCGGGATTGGGCGTCTCAAACGACGTGTAAACGTCAAGGATGCCACACGTGACTTCCGCCTTCTGTCAAGGTCAAGGACGTTTGGTCAAGGATATGAGAAACAGCTAACAATATGGCAGCAACATCAGGGGAGGGGACGCCCGAAACGGGCTTCACACTATTTAACAAACACAAATATAGGTTGTTTTCAAACAATGTTAACAATATTCAGGGCCTAATATTTGAATAGCCACCCGTGCTTAACGTGATCACATGCCTACAACCTCTACCTGCACGACGTCTCACCAACCTCTACCTGCACGACGTCTCACCTTCAGGCCGTTAACATCATTTCTATCTGAACGACGTCTCATCCTCATAGACGTGAACGCAACCTCTACCTGCACGACGTCTCACCCTGAGGCCGTGACTACCTCCTCTACCTGCACAACTCACACCCAGAGTCGTGAACACATCTCTACCGATAACGATAACTCACCCTCAGAGACGTAAACACCACCTCTACATACACCCACATCTCCCTCCATCCCCTGTGAACACCCCCTCTACCTACCATGACATTTCCCTCCATCCCATGTGAACGCCACCTCTACCTACCACGACATCTCCCTCCATCCCCTGTGAACACCAGCTCTACCTACCACGACATCTCCCTCCATCCCACGTGAACATCACCTCTACCTACCACGACATCTCCCTCCATCCCCTGTGAACACCACCTCTACCTACCACGACATCTCCCTCCATCCCCTGTGAACACCTCCTCTACCAACCACGACATCTCCCTCCATTCCATGTGAACACCCCCTCTACCTACCACGACATCTCCCTTTATCCCCTGTGAACACCACCTCTACCTACCACGACATCTCCCTACATCCCCTGTGAACACCCCCTCTACCTACCACGACATCCCCCTACATCCCATGTGAACACCTCCTCTACCTACCACGACATCTCCCTCCATCCCCTGTGAACACCACCAATACCTACCACGACATCTCCCTCCATCCCCTGTGAACACCCCCTCTAACTACCACGACATCCCCCTACATCCCATGTGAACACCTCCTCTACCTACCACGACATCTCCCTCCATCCCCTCCGAACACCTCCTCTACCTATCACGACATCTCCCTCCATCCCCTCCGAACACCTCCTCTACCTATCACGACATCTCCCTCCATCCCCTGTGAACACCCCCTCTACCTACCACGACATCTCCCTACATCCAACGTGAACACCACCTCTACCTACCACGACATCTCCCTCCATCCCCTGTGAACACACCCTCTACCTACCACGACATCCCCCTACATCCCATGTGAACACCTCCTCTTCCTACCACAACATCTCCCTCCATCCCCTCCGAACACCTCCTCTACCTATCACGACATCTCCCTCCATCCCCTCCGAACACCTCCTCTACCTATCACGACATCTCCCTCCATCCCCTGTGAACACCCCCTCTACCTACCACGACATCTCCCTACATCCAACGTGAACACCACCTTTACCTACCACGACATCTCCCTCCATCCCCTGTGAACACACCCTCTACCTACCACGACATCCCCCTACATCCCATGTGAACACCTCCTCTACCTACCACGACATATCCCTACATCCCATGTGAACACCACCTCTACCTACCACGACATCTCCCTCCATCCCCTGTGAACACCACCTCTACCTACCACGACATCTCCCTACATCCCCTGTGAACACCCCCTCTACCTACCACGACATCCCCCTACATCCCATGTGAACACCTCCTCTACCTACCACGACATCTCCCTCCATCCCCTGTGAACACCACCAATACCTACCACGACATCTCCCTCCATCCCCTGTGAACACCCCCTCTAACTACCACGACATCCCCCTACATCCCATGTGAACACCTCCTCTACCTACCACGACATCTCCCTCCATCCCCTGTGAACACCACCAATACCTACCACGACATCTCCCTCCATCCCCTGTGAACACCTCCTCTACCTACCACGACATCTCCCTCCATCCCCTGTGAACACCACCTCTACCTACCACGACATTTCCCTCCATCCCCTGTGAACACCTCCTCTACCTACCACGACATCTCCCCCCATCCCATGTGAACACCACCTCTACCTACCCCAACATCTCCCTCCATCCCATGTGAACACCACCTCTTCCTACCACAACATCTCCCTCCATCCCCTCCGATTACCTCCTCTACCTATCACGACATCTCCCTCCATCCCCTGTGAACACCCCCTCTACCTACCACGACATCTCCCTCCATCATCTGTGAACACCACCTCTTCCTACCACAACATCTCCCTCCATCCCCTGTGAACACCACCTCTATCTACCACGACATCTCCCTCCATCCCCTGTGAACACCACCTCTTCCTACCACAACATCTCCCTCCATCCCCTGTGAACACCTCCTCTACCTATCACGACATCTCCCTCCATCCCCTGTGAACACCACCTCTTCCTACCACAACATCTCCCTCCATCCCCTGTGAACACCCCCTCTATCTACCACGACATCTCCCTCCATCCCACGTGAACACCACCTCTACCTACCACGACATCTCCCTCCATCCCCTGTGAACACTTCCTCTACCTACCATGACATCTCCCTCCATCCCCTGTGAACACCTCCTCTACCTACCACGACATCTCCCTCCATCCCCTGTGAACATCACCTCTACCTACCACGACATCACCCTCCATCCCATGTGAACACCACCTCTACCTACCACTACATCTTCCTCCATCCCACGTGAACACTACCTCTACCTACCACGACATCTCCCTCCATCCCCTGTGAACACCTCCTCTACCTACCACGACATCTCCCTCCATCCCATGTGAACACCACCTCTACCTACCACGACATCTCCCTCCATCCCCTGTGAACACCTGCTCTACCTATCACGACATCTCCCTCCATCCCCTGTGAACACCTCCTCTACCTTCACCGACATCTCCCTCCATCCCCTGTGAACACCTCCTCTACCTTCACCGACATCTCCCTCGATCCCACGTGAACACCTCCTCTACCTTCACCGACATCTTCCTCCATCCCATGTGAACACCACCTCTACCTACCACGACATCTCCCTCCATCCCATGTGAACACCTCCTCTACCTACTACGACATCTCCCTCCATCCCATGTGAACACCCCCTCTACCTACTACGACATCTCCCTCCATCCCATGTGAACACCACCTCTACCTACCACGACATCTCCCTCCATCCCCTGTGAACACCTCCTCTACCTTCACCGACATCTCCCTCCATCCCATGCGAACACCTCCTCTACCTACCACGACATCTCCCTCCATCCCCTGTGAACACCTCCTCTACCTTCACCGACATCTTCCTCCATCCCATGTGAACACCACCTCTACCTACCACGACATCTCCCTCCATCCCACGTGAACACCACCTCTTCCTACCACGACATCTCCCTCCATCCCATGTGAACACCTCCTGTTCCTACCACGACATCTCCCTCCATCCCCTCCGAACACCTCCTTTACCTTCACCGACATCTCCCTCCATTCCATGTGAACACCACCTCTACCTACCACGACATCTCCCTCCATCCCCTGTAAACACCACCTCTACCAACGATGACATCTCCCTCCATCCCACGTGAACACCACCTCTACCTACCACGACATCTCCCTTTCCGGAGGCGAAGTGCCACTCTTGGTCGATTTTGATGGTTGTCTTCTCGGTCTTGTTGGCGGTCAGTTCCTGGCTGACCGTCACCGTGTCGTTCATGGTGGTGTTGGTGCTGATCACTATGGGGGCTGAAATGACCATCACTGGGTGTTACAAACGTTTCCAGTTCCTATGGTTCCTGGGTCCACTTGCACAAAGCGATCTTAGCGCTAAGATGATCTTAACTCCCATTCTTTAACATAGGCTTACAACCGTTGTAGCGCTAAGATAGTTTTGTGCAAGTGGGCCCTGGTCAGCGGGTACTACTATAGTATCGGTGGGTAGAAAGGTGATCGTGTCTCGACTTCACACTTCGGTGTTCATGATATCAATCACTGGTTTCACTGGACCCGATTAATTACAGACCACCATATAAAAGCTGGCATATTGTCAAGTGCGGTGTTAAAATACATTCAGTCTCTCTTTCACTCTCCTACCTGAGCAGGAACCTTTCCTCATCTCGTTCAGCAGACTGTCGATCTCTGAGAAGTTGTCGAGGACGAACACGTGGGTACAGTTGGGCTCCGTGGCCACCGCTTGCAGCTCCTGGCGGTTGATGGAGCCAATACCTGGACACACAGGTGAGGTGAGGTGAAATGGGGTTTAACGTCGCGTCCAGGATTATTGCACTTATATAGCGACGTGCATGTACGTGTGTCTGTGTTTGTGTGGCTGCTTGTACTACTCCGGACTGATGCCGATTTATAGTGCTAGCTCACTGAGATACCATGCCGCAGTTTAACATGAATACCCCACTCAGACACAGTAAACTGACTCCGAGCCGACCAGTCCTTGTTTTAGCACCTTCATGCCGAGCGCCAGACAGGGTAACAACAAGTACCATCTTTTAACGTCTTTTGGTATGACGCGGCCGGGACCCCGGACCTTCCGCTCTCCGGGCGGACGCTCTACCACTAGACCACGGTGGCGGTCATCTGGACACAGAGAATGGGCGAGGATACAAATAATCAGCGTTTCTGATACCTGGAGAATGTGAATGGGCAGGTTTACACTTAGTTGGCGGCTCTGTTACCTGAAAACCGAATTAGGCGGGCTTACAAGTAATCAGCGTCTCTGACACCTGGGGAAGGAGAGTGGGCGGGGTTACAGGTAATCAGCGTCTCTGACACCTGGGGAAGGAGAGTGGGCGGGGTTACAGGTAATCAGCGTCTCTGACACCTGGGGAAGGAGAGTGGGCGGGGTTACAGGTAATCAGCGTCTCTGACACCTGGGGAAGGAGAGTGGGCGGGGTTACAGGTAATCAGCGTCTCTGACACCTGGGGAAGGAGAGTGGGCGGGGTTACAGGTAATCAGCGTCTCTGACACCTGGGGAAGGAGAGTGGGCGGGGCTACAGGTAATCAGCGTCTCTGACACCTGGGGAAGGAGAGTGGGCGGGGTTACAGGTAATCAGCGTTTCTGACACCTGGGGAAGGAGAGTGGGCGGGGTTACAGGTAATCAGCGTCTCTGACACCTGGGGAAGGAGAGTGGGCGGGGCTACAGGTAATAAGCGTCTCTGACACCTGGGGAAGGAGAGTGGGCGGGGTTACAGGTAATCAGCGTCTCTGACACCTGGGGAAGGAGAGTGGGCGGGGTTACAGGTAATCAGCGTCTCTGACACCTGGGGAAGGAGAGTGGGCGGGGTTACAGGTAATCAGCGTCTCTGACACCTGGGGAAGGAGAGTGGGCGGGGTTACAGGTAATCAGCGTCTCTGACACCTGGGGAAGGAGAGTGGGCGGGGCTACAGGTAATCAGCGTCTCTGACACCTGGGGAAGGAGAGTGGGCGGGGTTACAGGTAATCAGCGTCTCTGACACCTGGGGAAGGAGAGTGGGCGGGGTTACAGGTAATCAGCGTCTCTGACACCTGGGGAAGGAGAGTGGGCGGGGTTACAGGTAATCAGCGGTTCTGACACCTGGGGAAGGAGAGTGGGCGGGGTTACAGGTAATCAGCGTCTCTGACACCTGGTGAAGGAGAGTGGGCGGGGCTACAGGTAATCAGCGTCTCTGACACCTGGGGAAGGAGAGTGGGCGGGGCTACAGGTAATCTGCGTCTCTGACACCTGGGGAAGGAGAGTGGGCGGGGTTACAGGTAAATTAGAGTCACCGATACGTGGAGCCTATATTTAGGTCCTTGTTATCAAAGTCAAATAACGCCACCTATCACCACGTCATCAACAGCGCGACGTACCGACGGTGAAGAATGTGATGCCTTGTCGCTTTGCCCTCTCTGCGGCCTGCACGGTCCTGTTCAAGTTGCTAGACGCCCCGTCGGTCAACAAAATGGCCACCTTGGGTACCCCCGGCCTCGCGCCGTGGTAGGTCGTAAACACCCGATCAGCTGCAACAACACACCGACATCAGTTCGTGACGAGTGCTAAGTTTGAAGGCAGGAATAATTGAGTGAGTATGGCTTCGGCTATCCTAAGATTGTGAGAAATGGTACAGATGATCGACTTTAGGATTGTGAGAATATGCGGTTCATACCAAACTAAACCCATCTGTTCGTAAAATGGCCGTGTCCGACGTTGCCGAGTTTGGATTCTATCCAAGGAGTCATCATTTTTTAAGTACGGGTATATATTTTTATCCTAAAAGAGGCTGTATATGATACTGATATCTCATACCAGAAAAATCGACTCGTGGTCGTGGTTTATCGTACAATAAAGCACTGCAGGGAGAATATACCACTCGGGGCTGCAACCCTTATGGTTTATTCTCCCCGTAGTGTGTTAAAAACAACCCCATTCGTCGTATATTTCTTAAATAGACTATATGAATAAGTTAAATATTCTTTTATCTACAACTAACACAAAACTCATCATTAACATCGCTAGATATCTGCATCACAGTAAAGAAGAAAGAACACGTATTTTATCATTGTGACTGTTGCCATAAATATGTCATACATTTTGTACAAAGGGCTTGTGGCCTGTATAGTACTGAATAAAGAATTCAAAATATATAACCTACTAGCCAGGTCGATGGCGTCGTATGTATGGGTGCCGCCGTCGTCCTTCTTTATGCTGGAGATGGCGGTGACGATGTCAGACTTCTTCGTGTACGTGTCGAAGTAGAAGGACACGTCAGACTGGGTGCCGTACACGATGGCGGCGAAGCGGGTAGCGTCGGGGCCGAAGTCGAGAGCCCGAGTGACGTTCTGTATGAACATTAGCATGGTGATGTAGTCGGTAAAGTAGATGCTGCCACTGCTGTCGATGATGAACGCCAGGTCCAGCTGTCCTTTACAATCTGCGGGAGATGAGAAGGTGGACTCGACTAACAGCAGATTTGAACCCGATAACAGTTTCAGTCAATAACTTATTTGTTTGTTATTTAATCCCAAAAGTCCATTTATCTTTTGGAAATATCTACTTGAGACATTACTCAATCTTCTTTCTGGTCTAAGTCTAGTCTAAGTCTAGTCTTAGTCTAGTTTAAGTCTAGTCTAAGTCTAGTCTAGTCTTAGTCTAGACTAAGTCTAGTCTAAGTCTAGACTAAGTCTAGTCTTAGTCTAGTCTAAGTCTAGTCTAGTCTAGTCTAAGTCTAGTCTGTGTCTAGTCTAAGTCTAGTCTAAGTCTAGTCTAAGTCTAGTCTAAGTCTAGTTTTAGTCTCAGATGCAACCGAGAACACTGTGTGGGGGACATTTCCAAATTTGACGCATCAGTGACAAAAATGACGTCCGATGCAATTCCCTATCTTGACTTGTACCGTATGTTCCCGTGCGTTTTCAGGTGAATTATTGACTTGCCTTTGCATGTATGTGTGTCAGGTGCAACCAGGGGGCAAGATACGCTCAACTTTCCGCGAAACGTGGTATCATCATTATTTGATAGTGATTCATAAACACATGCTCGTGATATAGTCGGAATCGTACACTTGACTATTCCTTATACAGAGATTTCTATTGGATATGGAAAGGGTTTTGTCGCTATACTTTTCTCCCCACGGTCGCAGAATCGGTGTGACCTCAAATAATACAAAGATGAAGATACCCAATGTCATTCACGGTCTACACTATTCAACCCTAGTTTGTGTTTTGTTTAACGCCGCACTCTGCAATATTCCAGCTATATGACGACGGTCTATAAATAATCGAGTCTGGATCAGATAATCCGGTGATTGACACCACGACCTTCAAACTATGCAATTGGGATTCGATGACATGCATCAACCAAGTCAATGAGCAACTGGGATACGATGACACGCATCAACCAAGTCAATGAGCAACTGGGATACGATGACACGCATCAACCAAGTCAATGAGCAACTGGGATACGATGCAACGCATCAACTAAGTCAATGATCAACTGGGATACGATGACACGCATCAACCAAGTCAAT